AGCACGGTGTGTAATCTTCCATCACACAATATAACAGGGTTGCTACTGCAACTCTTACAAAATCTGCTAGGAAATATTTCAAGGGTTGATTACAAGATAAATACATTAAGGAACACAAATTTAGTTTCCGTGCATGAAATGTCAAAATTCCATTAATTATACCTGTATTTAAAAACTGTGTGATAATTTAGCTTCCTGTGAGACCAATTGAAGTAATGAACCATTGATAATAGTAATTCAAACGACAAGCTATTCCATTAAGTGAAAAACAGCCAAGTTTCTCTATTGACAATGTTTCAAAATAAGTAAATGCAATAGCATACGAACATTTAAATTAGGTATATATAATCGTGTTATGTTACATACTGATACATGACAACAAACTTTACGTATCAAAAATTGTAAATCAAACTCGTGCATACATAAACAGGTTTGGTTTTAAGACATGAAGAGTTTTTCCTCGAAATATTTTGATATTGCATTATTCACTTTTTTCAACTATCAGATATTATTTCATTGTTGTAACAATGAGTTTTACTATGTAGGAGATCCTTGCTACAAGCGATAAATTAAACTGTTGAAGAATCATATTATGAAAAGAAAAATATTTATAATAGCACAAGCAAACATCACTGTCAAGTAGTAAACACAGAACAGATAGCCGTACCCGGAGATCCTACTCAATAACTACTACCAAAGTCATTCGACTGAAAAAATAATGTTAACGCGTAGCCCTGTTTGTTACAATTGCTTCACTAAGACAAAGGTCATGTGTTTCGCCAATGCCGTGACACACCAGTTGTTTGTTTGCATAAACTAATACATATATATATATAGATAAGTAATAAAACGTCATTACACATTCACGTGTTGTCTGTTTAAATCTGTTTATAAAGCTACAACGTATTCCTACATCCTTAGCAAGAATAGATCGATGCATGTAAGTACATATGTAGACCCTTTTACAGAGATGTAAGCCCGTCTATCTATAAGGGAGCATTGACAGTTCTACATGTTAACACCACACCAGATGTTGACCTACTCATCACAAAGCCAATCTCGTGTAGGAGGGCCATGTTACTAAAAGTAAAGCTTCATTAATACATTAAATGTGTTCGAGACTAAGAGAAAGAAGCAGCGAAATAATGGACAAAAATAATGTTTACAATTACCTGTTTTATTTTAGGCTAAAGTTTAAATCAACTGTAAGATCCTTCACTGATCTAGTTATAAAGTAGTATCACCTCGTAGTTATGTAATCTACGCGAGGAATGATGGGTTTCGTGATCATCCCAACCTCCGTCCCTGACCTCAAGATATCTTACGCTAGGCTTCCAACGGTTTTACTTTGTCATACAAACATTAAAACATCCCTATTTTTCATTAAATAATCTTCTGTGGGATCAAGAGCGTATATTTGTGCTTCTCATAAAAACAGTAGTAAGTTTAGCCCACTTATGCTATAACCGATGTCAGAAAGTATATGATGATCCTGGAGGCGATACACAGTGTGGGTAACACATGCCGGGCCAATCCATCAACATGTATAGCGATGTGTACACATACGGGGCAATGACTTGTGAAATATACTACAAGTGAAACTCGTGTGAACCTAGAGGATATTTCATAGCCAATGTAACAGTCATTTTGAAAGTAAAAGGGATGTAATGCGATCCTGTGAGAACTACCAGCCATCTAAACATGATCGATATAGCATTTCCTCTGTAGAGATAGTCTTATAAAAGTGAGGGGAAGTCTAACGTTTCAAAACTTCTAATATATATAAGTAATAAACGGAAAAGTTGATAATCTGACCCCAAGGAATTATAAATGGAAAAACAAACAACAGCTTTAATTACATTAAAGCAAAACCAAGTGAGTGAGAATGTTGAGCATAATTAGAAATATTTTTTACACATTACTAGATTTATTTTTTCAGATCCGAATTGTCCTGGTGTTATTGATAATCACACGCGAATAACGCCATGTTATCGGAATATGCGAAGGGTCATATTATTATGGGAACTTCGTCATAACAGATTATTTGTAGCAATAAGGAACCGCATAGTGTTAATAAATATCAGAGTACAAATGTTCAGCTGGTGTCGACACGATCCCTGACAATTACGAAAATTAATCAGCTAAGCACGTGCTAGTGTTAGTGGCGACACTGGCAATAATTCATTGAATGCAGTCGGACCTGCGTCGGATTACTGTGCGACTGTGCGTGTTCACACGGTACCATAGCCAGCGGCAACAGTTATTCAGTGGGACAAGTACGGGTTATCTCCCTTAGGCCCGTACTCTAGGAACAATATTTTGCGAAGATGTAATCGAAGATTAGTCCATTGTTTCAAGGGTTTATTGAACAAAGGATAGTTTACCGTCTGTGTTTATCGGGAAGTCTATGAAATCTAATCAGGACACGGGCATGTTGAGAGATCAAAGCACTATACCACCTATTATGGTGTATCATTACATATATACATACGAACTCCCTACTTTACATGTATGTAAAACCCAGGAAGGACATACCTACACCCCGAGACGACTAAAATCAATACCACAGTGCCTTAACGGTGAGGTTAGGCGGACAAAGCTAATGCAACGCGCGTGTAAAACATGACAATGTAACAGAGGAAAGTTAAGCCGCTTTAATAACCTAGCTACTCTTATCAGGCCGTAGTGTATGTCTGTCTGGCTATAATCTATCGCGCGCTGTGATCGTTACCTGTCGTTTAAGTTAGTAACATTCAAGGTGCTTCCTTTCTTCACTCTATACACACCTCATGTTACCTGTGTGGTACACCTGTATCGCAGGTAATGGGACTTGTTGAACTTTGAAAGCACCTATTACAAACAGAACCAAACAAAGTATGGCCATTTTCACAGGATCCCGGTGTTTATAACGGCCAAGCACGCCGTTCAATACATACCGTAGTTTTTTAACAATGCGATAACCTTCCACAAGTTAGTACACACTGCCTCTATTGTTAAGCATTGTCTTCAGAATATGGAGAACAATTTAAATGACAAATTGCGTTTTAACTAAAACATCGTTTCGTTTAAACAAAATTATGAAGATGATTTATCGATTAGAACTGGCTTTAAAGGCGACCTATGTTATAATGATATGTATATCGTTTATTTCAGCAACATATCAAATCAGAAGTCTACATATCCCCGATTGAATAATGAGTAAATTGTTCGGTCGACTATAGGCAGCCGTTGTCAGATTTAGATCGGACTATTTATAACTAATTATACGTGTCGTTTATCGGCCCAGAAATTTTCGAATTCTGTTTTTTTTTTTTTTGACGAGTAGTATTTTCGGTACATTATTACTCCAGTACCGTCAATCGTTGCCTGCGTGGAAAATGGACACGTCACTATTTTTATAGGTTCTTATCAGATTCAAACAGAGAAACTGTGATGAAATTATTTTTATATAACTGTTAGTCTGTTGCAACCTTACATCTAAAAAGGGGGCCTCGGGCTACCAAGACACGTCTAGATATGTTCTGATACAAACAGTTTTTATAGGCCTACATAATGCTCTTCTCTTTATGTTCTTTTTAATAAAAAAAAAACACACTGTGTTTGTTACACGCTCTTAAGTCGCCATTCAAATCTTAATTGTAGTCCGTGACTGTTAAGAAATATTCGGTTACATGTCTAAAAGCCAGTACGGAAAGCAGAAGTCTCCTGAAAATCCGCTATAAAGGTAGCCCTTCATATGAACCTTTACAAATGGATCTAAAGACCAGCTGTCGAGGGGGATGTTACGCTTGTCTAGTTACTAGTGTTTAATTGTACGACCCACAGCTCAATAGGGTGAACTCGTGACGCCCCGGCTACCTACAGCTAGCCTGTAGTTGGTATTAGTTAAAATGACAATGCATCCCTACCTCCTTTGGTAAAACGACAATATTTTCATTTAATTTTATACAGATGTATTTTCCAAATGTTTAAAGCGATACCTATTTTTTTTCAAATTTATGGCTAGTAAAAATAGACTACTTGTGGTCTTTACTTTATTCATTATGGTCTTAATCAGTTTAAATCTTTCCTGTTTAATTCCGTTTGTTCTAATCTAAAGCTTATGTCGACGAGTGTAGACAAGGTCACATCATGACACCCTGGTATATCATTCTCACAGCGTACATCAATAGATATCTTTTTGTATTGTACGGGGCGATCGAGATATGACGTATGTAAATCTATTCTGGATGACTTACAACGTGGACAATAAACGTTTAATCCATTTAAAACGGTTTTAGGCTCTTTGTAAAATCAACATGTATATATGATGTTTGTTTTGTCCACGTCATACATAGATAACGAAAACAAGGGCTCACCAGAAAGTAAAGACAATATGCATCGGATCACGGAACACGAAATGCGTTCATATAATCAATTACATTGATCACCTGGGGAATTATAACTACACGTTAAAGACAGAATCTGCCTGTACATTAAATATTAATAGGATGCTAACAGAATATTTAACAGCACGGTAAAAGATGGCAACTACAACCATAGAATTCTGTCTGCTGTAACAACTCAGCATTGTATCGCGATAAGAGAGCGGACTTACAACTCGATATTAAATACACAGTAGTGGTAGGGTATATATCCTCACATCCTAGTGTTGTCAATTGCAAACCAAGTGATTAATGACCGAGACCAGGACTGTCTTACATTAGCCTGAGGCCAATTAGTGATAGTAGTGCGACACTTGGGCTACTACTACGGGGCTAATTAATTCAACTGTCGCTAGCCCCCATTCTCGGCAAGCTCAAATCAGTTAATTTAAATCTATTTAGTAAACTTTATATATAGATATATATTTACACGTTCTACATAGCAAATAACAATATATTCTTGAATAATCTAAATATTGATTATTGTGCTTTAAATGATATCTTGCCATGTCAATTAACCTGAACTATGCTACCTTACAGTTATTGATATGAAAAAGGAAAAACATACCAAATTGATAACATTAACTTAAATAATTTATTCTGTCAAAAATAATTTCATATCACATTTGAATTATTTTGAAAATAAGACCGCGGCATTTCAAAAGTTTAAAATGCCGAGATTTTATTATTTTCAACAGATGCCTGCAAATATTTGATAATTTAGGTCACGCGTCGACATAAATATATCGTATGCGTATGTATATATAAATATTATTGTTTCACATAATTTAGCATTTTGTAGTTTCATTGCAACACATAATAAATATAATTATCACTGTATCCCGCAAATATTATAAGAATGTCACTATCATACCGTATCATATAAAATCCATGTTCGCTTTGTCACATTAATCCGAAGACTCGCGGCTATAATTCCACTATGATCGACAAGTACCCCAACCATCCGTGGTATTGTATATTCCTTTCGGACATATCTTTGCACACATGATTATGCACTCATCCTGAAGACAAGATAAATCCCAGATTTCATATAAATGGCATATTGTGTGTTTTCACGTTTTGCATCCAGTGATAAAATAAAGTAACACATTCAACATGTTGAATACAGCTTGGGTCATTCACATTCACCCCATCTAGTACACACTTCCTCACTTCTGGCCTAGCAGCTAGTACACTTTGCTGTCTAGGCAATATGTTGCTATGTTTCTCCTAAAGCACGTATCAGATTATTAAACACAGCGTCCATATCACTACATATCTGTTTCTCTCTATGACTTTCACTGGTAACGTCAATATCGGTCCTTTCGTCCATGTTGATCCCGTGAGATTCTGTCTGCTTCGAGACGACAGGCGAAGAAGTGTTTGTGGAAATATTGTCTTTAACTGTTGAAGTCTCCTCCAAACTCTTCACAAGAGTGTCAGTAATTTCATCTTGGAATTTTTCCGATTCCTCTGGGTTGGAATATTGGCTATCAAACATACTCATATATCCATTAGGAGAGGCTTGTAAATAACTATTGTTCAACACATCGTAGCTGTAATGAGGGCGAATGCGATAAATACAACTTTTGTATCCCTGGTAACTCTTCTGTTTCTCCTCCCGAATTTCCTTCTGGACCTTTTTTAATGTGTTATTGATTAAGACTGAACGTCGTAGAAAATGTTCTGGGTCCTCCATTTGTCTTAATTTTTGAATAGATATTTTCAACACTCTTCTCCTTTCTTCCTTGCGTTCTTTGGGTGTATTGAGAAAAGGCGATATACGTTTAGGTGGTATACGGTCTAACAAGTCATCCGTGTCGGAATCTAATTTCCTTTTAACTCCGATAGTTCTCCTTTCATCCACTTTCATTTCTATCTCCTGTGTATCATTCTTGCAACAATTATTTGTGGGTTCTTCTTTCCGCAGGCCTGTACAGATAAAGAAAAGACAAGTGTATGTTTAAACACGTTACATGATGCGAGAGATTGATAATACTTAGGTTCGTCTGTTCCCCGAACAATGAGAAAACTTCACACAGGTGATTGACACTAAGTTAAGTCTTACCATTGATTGAACTTAATAAAGATAATCAAATGGATCATATAGTAGATATGGTTGTATGCTTGTGTATTGATAGTACCTATGTACACACATACATACTTAGCCGCGCGGCTACGGCTCGATAAGCACTACAAGAAACTTGAGCAGATCGCTAACAGACGTACTGCCGAACAGGAGAGCAAACAAAGAAAGCCTTGACTTAAAAAATCTCGTGTTGTTTGTACTGAAAGTCCGAACTAGCTCAGCTTTACAACGATATTCATCTAAGATCAATAACTTGGCGTTACCGGTGTAAGCCCGGAGGTATAAGAAAGTGTATCCCGTGCCCTTATCTATATATAATAGATGAATGCATGTTGAAGACGTGTAGGAAAAGGATGGAAAGATTAATGGTAATTATGATAATAAAACGGATTGATTGTGAATCGATCTGAACGCCTCTTCTCGTGTTATTGACCGAAAGGTGTCCCCACTCTTGTCAGAGCGGATATGTCCCCAACACAGATATACACATCTGTCTGCACAGAGAAAGTAATGTAACCAGTCACCACACGCCGTTACAACCATACAATTTAAACCTAACATCAATATTTCATAGCAATAAATAAACAAGAAGTTCAGATTTTATCGGTGAAGAAGAAAAATAACAATAAGAAAACAATAATTTTCAAAAGAAATCAAATCAAGATTAAAGTGTTTATGTTGACAGATAAAACAATGTTTAACATCAAACAAATGGTTTTTTACCTGGACGTTCCAACTTGGCCGGAGTCAGACTCAGAGTGGTCTGCTTGTCAAATCGACAAGAGCATGTGGTTGTTCCCGTGTCTGTAGCTAGCCGGGAACCAGAAGACGTTGCGTTAATCCAATGATAATCAAAGTCCGTTTGAGAAACTGTGTCGTCTGTAGATCCTCCTCCTCCTCTGAAGCCACCACAACACGGGTTATTATACACCGCGCTCATCGAAAGAACGCAGGTCATGACTTTATTGGTCTCTTCTGTGATAGAGTGCAAAACAGAACTTCATAGAAGATAACGATGATCTTTTGTTCATGTAAAGTTAGAATACACACCACAGATTAATTATCTCATTGACGATTTTTACAACTTCATTTCCTGCAGTTGAACAATAAGCAGCGAACCTTTAAGTCGAGTAAGTCTCCTTTATCCTGTTATAAATAAATAAAAAAGAATCATGTTTAAAGTCATTGATGAAATGAGTGGACGGACCGTTGGGTCTTGCCGTAGACGCTAGGCTCTAGCGACTAAATGACTATAATCCATTGAAGTATGTATACACACTACATCCAGTGCCTCCGCTATCTTGTAACGCACTGAGAGTGAACTGTGCCGGTGTCGGTATATAGTACCCCACAGTGGGCTGGCCCTGGCTCGCTACGCTTATACAGACTGACGATGGCAGTAGTCGACTCTGCGCTCATACAACTCTAGTCACAACCAACGTAAGTGTTCGGGCGTAGATTTTCAGACCTGCGATAAACTTGTAAATGGAAATGATAGATAACCTATGCTTGATGATATACGTCCGGGGCTTAGTTCGGATAAAACGTGACAGTTTGGGTATTTAACCAACTGTACTCGTCAACGTACAGCTTAACACTACAGACATGAGCGTTACAGTCACACAATGTAATATTGTATACTTGTACACAATTGAACAAGTGAACCATATCGATGTGAGAAGTAAGTTTTAAAAGCTGCTTGTCTCGTATAAATAAACAGTTCAAGGAAACAACACCTGAATTTTAACGCTGTTGACTAATTAGATATGGAAAATGCACACAATGGGGAGTGGGGGAGGGAGAAGGGGGGGGGGGTAAGGCCGAGTGGTAAAAAGGGAAAGCTAACACTTGTCTAAAGAACTTAGTCACGTAACATTTCTTACTAGTTACTGTGATAATTTCCTGGTATAAGAGATAGTTATCTTTAAATATGTTTTAAGCGTGGAAAGGAAATGGATGTTGTATACACGTAATAATTATTAGAGGCTACGACCACTGCGGGGCTTTTAAACTAGCGTCTGATATGTTAAACATTTGGCATAAAAAGGTTGCGTCAATCTGTAGCTAGTGGCATTCAACTGTAACGCGAACAGGGCTGTTGTAGATAAGTATATTATAGAAAAAAAACCCAGCAACATTCACAGTTAAATCTGTAAAATTAATATGTTATCTTTAGGAAATGTTTCTCTTTACAAACATCACCAAATAGAATACAATTATTTCGAAGTAAGGTTTGCCTTCCTCTGTGAGAAAGAATGGCTTTTGACAGATAACACCATAGTGTAAACTCAAAGAGACAAATTAAGACGAGATTAACAATGAACAAAAGGCTGAAAACAATAGCGAAAGATCGTGACCCCCCCCACAAACAGAGAAGGAAGTGAAGATACGCATTATATCGACTGTCGTAATCACAAATTTCAAACAAGGAAATAAATTCATCCGTCATCATATACATCACGGAATAATATCGATTGTGATTTAATTCGGAGAATAGGGTACGGTGCTGAACCCGCCGGCTGGTGTCAGCGTTTACTATATACACCGCTGATGCGGTTTATCTCTACAGTTTGATGACGTCGATAACGACTACATCAATAGAAATGAGTCCTCTTTAACTATGTCAATTACCTTATAAACACACGTGTTCACCACTTTGATCAGGTTTACCTTCAGTACTATGGTCGTGATAGATTGTGTACTCTGTAACAGGTTTACAGTAATATGCTGGCTATGACATCTACATCTGACAACCTGTACGATCATGTTATATAATGATATAAAACTATTTACTTTAGAAAGATATTCAAAAGAACATAATAACCAAACATCATAAAAGAATGACGCCACAATTTTCTAATTAAATAAAAACATCTTTTCAACTTTAATACTATTCAGAATCCGTTAATAATTATACATGTTTTACAATGTGTGTGTATATATATATATATACTCAACATCTTTCACCTGCTAAAGCGCTATGACACAGGATGTACCTGGAGCCAGGTTGACGCGATGGAGTTGGGTTCGGGCCCTACAGGACAAGCAGCTGTTGTACGGTTCTACAACCCTAACATGTCGCACACAGGTTCAGACGGCACGCGTTCATTTATAACACCATGACAATAGCCAATGTGAGGCTGTTCCGGTAAGTTATGGCCTTCCTATTATCACACTGCCTGTATACCATTAACAGTCATCTTTCCTTGACGGTTATTGGGCCTACAACTTGTTTTAACTGACTACCCGTATAGATAGATTAAATGCATTTAAGACAGTGTTTGTCAGATACACTTATCCGTGAAACCTCGTCCAAAGTGCTAAGTATTTTGTGGTTAACATTTCAGGAATGAGTACACATATGGCCGTTAAAATTCATTACGAAACAGTCGGTGTATTTAGTTAGAATCATACTGGTAGAAAATTATCGGCGAAGTTGACACCTCTGCTGTCTAATTTGTAAAGGGAACGAATTAACGTAGCGCTTTGAGGTAATCTCCTATTATTGACGCAGGGGCAATATTTTGTAGTAGTTATTTTTGTTTCAGAGAAACAAGAAACTTAAGAGTAAACTTGTGATAATAAAGTGAAGTAATCTACTCCACTTCCCTCTTAGCCAGCTTCGTGTATTTTCCAATATACAATGCTACACAATCAGGTTTTCCAAATGCACTCAGGAATATTGTACATATATGTAGCAATACTGACAGTTGCTTGGGGTAAGCTGGGGAAACAGCTAATCACGTAATGCTGTTAGAATGAAGTGACTATGGAAAATGTCACTGGCGTCCTTTGAAAACATGGCGTATTAGATTAAAACTGCTTTTAAAAATGAATCAGTTATCAATATGTGTCTTTTTGTTTAGCTGATATTACTGATTAACTGGAGGCTAATCATATAGAGTGGCACTTTAGCTGATATTTTTGTTGAATTTCAAATTGTTGATTATCATATCGATTTAGATAGATGTCGTCACGCTTCGTGCATCTGAATGTCGGCTCTCAAGTGATGCTCATCAAAGCATAAAGCCACAGGCGAAACGAAAATAAATGGACGCCGTTACAAGGGTATAGATAGTAATAGAAACCACATACCAACAGTATATTTAACAGGTTAAATATCCACGTGTTCTAACAGTACATGATGAATTAAAATGGTGCTGTATCAGCGGGAAATCTCAATGAAAAATCGAATAAAAAAACATTGCATAAATATCGAGACAAAATCTGAGGGATGATTCAAGAAAAATACTCTGCTCTTGATATAGGACTACCCGTCTTAAGATTTCTTTATAGGTACATAACTATATTTATCACAAATATGTGTCTCTATGTCGTGTTGTGATATACTTCTATACTTAATGACTTAAATCTAATACTATTTCATGACAGTCTCACTGTGGTCGGAAATACATGACCGATTTTAATTTGAGCGTTAGTTAATTATGGGTATTTGTATTGTATCCTTTAACAACATTTAGTCATCTCTAATTAATTTGGTCTGTCGATGATTCCAGAAATAAACTTTTTACCACAATGGATATGAATAACATGTAGCCTCGATGCTCTTAAGTGTTTAGATAAGCGTTTCTTGTATTAAGTGAAACTCTACAAAAAGCCCCTAAGCGGTTTTGTATAAAAGACGGATATCTGATACAAAATCGATCAGACCCGATCGACAAAAATGATCGATTGTGTTACACCTGTCAGTGTTAACAAAATATTTCCTTACAGCCTAGCAAACAATTTACCTGTATCGCCGAACTGGGTTTGCTAAATCAAGAAACCATACGTTTTGAGTCACTTGCTACCTAACAAAGCGATTTATTAGAGTGGCGACTTTGAAGTGATTTTTATACACGTCAATATGTGTATGTGCATTTGTCAAAATGATTAATATTGATATAAAGCAACACACTAGAGTAGTTTCAGGTAGGTGTTCAGGTAAGGTAACAGAATTACCATACCGACTCTATGTACGACACACAGGTGAAATAAGATACACCTTTGTTTACTCGCGTAGAAATACCTTTATATTGTGTAATTTAAGTCCCACGGATCACATTTTTTTTCTCTTCTTTTATTCCAAGTACATTCGACTCATTTCAACAGAATAAATATATATCGGTGAAAATTAAAATGCTGAAATAACTCATGGTCATAATGATTTCGTTCACACAGACGGAAATATGAATAAAAATTAAACACGACTCCGAAGTATTTAATAACATCACTAAAACAATGACACGTTTTCCTTATTAGTTTTTGTATTGAGTCGCGTCTCCAGGAAACTTCCGGCATCATATTTCGTTACATAACATCAGGCCTGTAGATATTATTATATTAATCAGTAATAACAACATGTACTCTTGACACGTTGAATATTACATATTCGTCATATTTATCGCATAAAGTTTCTCTTTTTCTCTTTTTATGGTAAGGTATATAATGCTCTTAATGTAAGTTTTATTCCTTTCTCTAGACACACTGTTCAGAAGAGATAGACAAATATTCTCAATTCGTTTATATTCTTAACACTGTTTCCATGTTCATATTATAAAAATGCAGGGAAAAAAACTGTTGGACATCGAAACAAAATGTATTTCACTCATAACAGTAAAACTAAATGTATTGCAAATGATATATGATTCTCGAGTTTGTTTATCTTTTTTCCATATCTATATATAAATCATAACATAACTACTAAGATATTTCATTAAATATTATAACTACAATCCTAAATTTATTGTAGCTAAGATGTCTACTGTCTGACAGATCTTACTGTACATGTCATCCAACAGCAAACTACAGAACCAGGAACGCGGAACACTCTCACTTTCAATACAAAATAACAACGCAAGCATGCTCCCTAGAGGCATGGATGTCACCGAAGACATTTGTCATAAATGGACAATACTAATATGCCCTGTCTACTTTCAGATGATAGCCGATAACATGTAGTTATTTGTAGTGGCGACCCAAATATCGACACTCCGGAAAAATCTATTTTATTTCATAGTGAATACCAATAAATTTTGTATTTAAAAAATTGAAAAATAAAATGTTGAAATTTATTTACTGTTAGTACATCTCCAATTCTTACATCGTTTTTGTTTCGGTAAATTTTATGTCATCGTAACTCGAATTCGTCATTCAACACTTTATACCCCCCGGCCCGTCACATCCATCAAGTCAAGGAAGGACGAAACACCGATTCCATATTTTTACATCCCCGCCCTATCTGATGAGTGTAAGATGGACGAAATAAATCTGTATGACGAAGTTAAAAAATCACAAGTA